AATAAATTCCAGACTATCTGCTGGTTGAAAAGACTCAAGTTAAAGAAATTTATATATTTTAGCGACTTATTGAGAAAGCAGACTTGCAGTTTTCTGCTCAATTGTTTGCTTGCTTTATAAGAATTCTTAAACAGGAATAAAACGGAAAGTTTAAGAAAACACCTAATTATTGCCAAAAATAGAAAGTCTTAATTAAAAAGCTTGTAACAGACCTAATGTGATACAAAATAGTGGACCTTGATAAATCCTTCTAAACAACCGCACATCCCTAGTTTCATTGCAAGTCATTAATAATTACAAAATATCATTTTTCTTGGAAATTTTGTCAAATACAAGTATTTAAGGGTTAATGCGTAATTCAGCAGCTTGAATTGTTGTACAAATAACCAGAGAATTTTTGTCGTTACGTATGATATAATTACCAACTGCTGTTTTTCCATTCCTTTCTCTCAGAGTGTTCAGATGTCTGGCTCTGTGTTTGCTTGTCACTCAATCCTCCCTAACCTAGTCGAAGTTTTTATCTTCAGCAGTAAGAAATCACAGGGCAACCATTCAGTGTTATTATTGACTAATAATTGTTACGCCGTTTGGTTAGCTCTGCCGATTCACTTTCATTTAGTTCTTAGTCGTCTTCCACTGCACGCATCTTCAGAAAGGTGAACTAGAAAGCATTATTTACATGGGACGATAATAATAACCTACTTTGTTTGATTCTATTCAATTATTTTTAGTGCGGTGGTCTTGTTCATTCTTATTATTCTTTTCAGAACAGTCAAACACACCCGAAAAGTACTGAGAGACGCGTTGATCGACCACAGTGTGAACATGACAAAGAACAACAACCAGAAAAAGAAAATATCCCTAGTTGTAATGTTGGTGATTCCACCGACGTCAATAAGCATGATAACGATGATGATGATGATGATGATGATGACAGGGAAATCGAGAAGTGTATCGAAGAATTATTATCAAGGCGACAAAATCAAAGTTGTATTAATCTAGACATAGAGTTAGGCCAATGGCGCAATCGTCTGCATGCCTACAATGAAGCTAAAGATTCGTGTATTATACTTTTTGGTCTATTGGCAAATAATCGCGGTTGCCTTGTTCGAGAATTGTATCAAGAATTCGGCATGGATTTAGATGACTAAAGATTATTATGATTTTGTTAGTTTTTTGTCTCCTTAAAAAACAAGTGAGAAAAATTAATCAAAGACATCTAGGGAACTGAGTAAAGCTGTATAATTCTACTTTTGACCTTTATTCCAGAAATCCAGAAACTGTGTTGAATATATACACATGCATATTAACTTTTATATTTTTCTGTTATGCTGTTATTGTGATATTTTCTCCTTTATTGTTGCACATATTATTGAACTGCTTCATTAAAGACAAGTGAATTTGGATCCAGTTGTTCATTTATGTTAAAGTGTTGGTTTGTAGGGATTTGACTGGTTTCAGGATTTCATCATGAGCTGACATTAGTTAGAGAACCTGGGAGACCTGGACAGCCGTGTCATCCTAGTTTGGGACTCTTCAGCAGTACACACCCATCGGGATTCCAACCCTGGACCTTCCGGTTACAAGCCGAGCTCGTATACCATTAAGCCACTGAGACCCGATCCAATGGTCCTTGAATTCTAACTTCTGCCAAACCAACACTTAAATACCAATGAGATGCTCACTGGTGACTGGCCCTATTCAGGTAGGTAGTTACCTGGGTTCCAGTGGTAAGTCGTGACCAGTAGGGTGCAGCGGGTCGGGTGTGAGGAAAAATACTCGCTGAAGACATTGGCTAGCGGTTGCGCTATGTCGTGAATTTGCAGAAGTTAGAATTCAAGGACCATTGGATCGGGTCTCAGTGGCTTAATAGTATACGAGCTTGCCTTGTAACCAGAAGGTCTTGGGTTGGAATCCCGATGGGTGTGTACTGCTGAAGAGTCCCAAATTAGGACGAAACAGCTGTCCAGTACTCCCAGGTTTTCCAATGGTTCTCTAACTAATATCTGTTCGTTTATGATTAGTATTTTACAAGATTGTGTTAGTGGTTTTCATTGTTGTACGAAACTGTCTAATTCAACTCATAAAGGGGGAATTTTATTAAGCCGGCAAGATGTTTTGTCAGGATTGAAATTACGTGATGTAGAAACATTTATTGTTGAAAATCAGTTAGCTGTGAGATTCTTATTATAAACTTCATTTTCATTCCGCATTTACACATGCGTTTTAAAGATTCGCGTTTTTTTATGATTATTTGTTCAACCCCCTAGTAAACTATAATAATTCTAATAGATGATGTGTGTGTGTAGTCTGTTGTCTAGTGGACAAAACTATGGTTGTGTTTGTGAGTAGCAGGATAGCAAACGACATCTTCTCGTTCAATCCCATGTATGAAATTGTCGTTCATGAGTTTAAGCACTAAATATTCGTTAACCAGCGGCTGAAAATTTAATTCAGTTTCGTTCCATTTATCAAAATGTATGTGTAGTAAGGTTATATTATTAGCCTTTAGAAAACAAATGTTGCTCATCCTAAAATGTATTACAATGGTTCGTGACTTCGACTCGTTACCATTGTTTGATATGTAATTAATTGATGAAACAGTATCACTAAATAAGTAATACTGAGAACCAATTCGAAAGCGTAATTATTCTTCCAAATGCAGTTGCATATTTCCTCACAAGTGTCAGATAGTAGGATGACTAGATTTACAGCCGCATACAGATTTTAGATAACTCCAGCTAACAGATATTTTGCTTCCTTATGAAATTCAGCGAAGAATTATTGCTAGATTTTTATAACATAGCCGTAGAGATGTACGAATACTATTCCGTTACAATAAAATAAAACCCGTCAAACCACAAGCGTAGCACCGTGAATTAATGATGACTACTTCCGCTATGTAGTAAACTAAACGCTGCAACCAGAGTATGTACTAAACCCTCTATTGTTACCAGTGATACATTGGTTGGTACCGATTCGAACTTCCAAGATGATTTCACAAAGCGCCTGATATACCTATGCCTCAGTAATAATATATCTCTGCTAAGTCAATAAGACCACACAAAACAGTAGAAAACTTTCTATTAACATACAGACAGAGGCCGAGAATGTATAATTCAATGAGCAGCACGAAATGATTCATAAAACACACAATCAAACAACAATGACACAATACCCGAAATATATATATATATATATATATAACTCAAAAATATCCAGTATACATCCGATAATACCACCTGGAAACTCCATGGAACATTATCAAAGTTGTCGGCGTCACCATCATCAATGCTTGTCTGACACTGACAGAATCTTCATGACTTGTGTCATCATCGGAACTGTCAGTGTGTTTGTGTGACATTGCTTTTGTGCGTGTGTGTGTGTTTCTGTGTGCATATGTGCATGTGGTAGTGATGGTGAGAGTTGGATTGATCTGGTGCAGTAGTGTCTTCTCTACTGATTGTACTTTTCTCTGTAGAGTATTTTCGACGAGATTTGATATGCTACTGATATGCGTTGAATGTTCGAGTGTGGCTTAGTATGTGTATGTGGTGGTTGATTGGTGTTTGTTTGTGTTGTATTCGTGTTGAGATGATGGTATGTGATGTGTGTTGATGTTGACTGGGTTGGTTGTATTGCTTTTAGTGTAAGATGTGCAAATGTATGAATAATTGATATTTAGTTGTTCTGTGGTCTAAGAGGGATATTGTGTTAGTCAGAGATTGTACTCGCTTCGGCGGTACATATACTAAAATTGGAACGATACAGAGAAGATTAGCATGGCCCCTGCGCAAGGATGACACGCAAAATCGTGAAGCGTTCCATATTTTCTTCACAATCATGCATACACTACAACTCGCCACACATAGTCAAGTAGGCGAGTTGATTGAGCACAGCCGACCGATTGGTCAGTCGGTCGATTGGTTGGCTGTCTGCACACACCGGATGGCGTGACATGAATTGAATTCCCCAATGTCCTGGTCAATGCATTCTCTCCGTGCATCTTCGCCTTCAGCAATCCCCGTGTAAACTGAGTGACGGAGATCTGTGTCATTTGTAGGCCGATATCAGCCGATTGAGTGACGCATTGTGATTGTCTCACTGAGTAACATGGCTCATTAGTATACTATAGATGATGGAAGGCGGTTAGAGCTGTGATGTTGTGAGATAGGTGTATCAGCTGGGTCCTCCGTATCGGATGAAAATCGCTGATGAACCCAGCTAGAAACGATTTCGGGCGCTTCGCAGACTTTTCGGTCAGGCCTAGGGGCACTGTACCACTGTTGTAATTAGTTGTAATCGTAGTATTAGTATTTCGAGATGACCAAATTACAAGAATCCAAACAAAACAGAGAGAGGGCGGAATTCAGGAATTTGTATTTAGCGGAATTATAATGCAATTCATATAAGAAATATTAACAATCAACAGTAAGTATTTAAACAATACAGAGATAGAAATAGTCAATCACCACATCCGCCACACGTCGAATGTCTCCTTGCGTATTTATAATGATATCGCGGTTTGCTTGCCAGTCTCTGCGATCTTCTAACTGATTGTGTGGCATCATTTCCATCAGTATCATCTAGACTTATTTCTGAATTATCTACAAAGTCAGGATTAGTAGCGGAGTCATTATAATCATAATCGGAACGACCTACCTCATTTATTCTCACTTGATCCAAGTGTCTGTTATGAACTGAATTATCTTCGATGTCTAATATCTTCACCATTCGATTTCCCATTCTTTGTAGTATGATACCAATAGAAGGTCTATAATCATTCCCTCTGTAATAATGTACATCAGAAGTCGTGGACATCAGATGCTTTCTGAGAATTCGAGATTTGAATAGTTTTGCAGGACTTTCATGAGTACTTGTATGCTCCGCATTGCGATATTGAAGTAAGAAGTTATCCACACATCTCTCTAGCTCATCAAAATTTTGAGGACTCATTGATGCTATAGCACTCTTTAATGTTCGTACAAAATTTTCTGCCAACCCGTTTGACTGAGGATGACGTGGTGCTGTGTACAAATGACGACAACCTATATGTTTGAGCCAATCATTGAAGTTCTTCTCCGTAAAATGAGTACCATTGTCAGTAACTAAGACATCTGGAATTCCTTCTCGACTAAAAATCTTTCTCAACGCTCTGTGAGTGAATTTGGCATTAGGACTATCTGTAATGATGACTTCTGGCCATCTAGAATAAGAATCCACAATAACTAAAGCATAATATGAATTTAAGAATGGACCACAGTAATCTGCATGAATACGCTGCCAAACCTCACAAGATGCAGGCCACGGTGTCCACGATGACTTCCCATAGGACATTTTATGTAAACAGCTAGAACAGCTCTTTGATCTTTTGTTAATGTCAGCATCAATTTCCGGCCACCAGCATGTTAGGCGTGCTAATGATTTCATCTTATCAGCTCCTAGATGAGCAGAATGTAGATCATCCAAAATCGCAGATCTTAATGTTGGAGGAATAATAATTCTGTCATTCAGACATAGAAATCCTTCAGGATGGACTGAAATCTCATCTCTTCGCTTATAAAAGTCTGGAAATCTTCGCTTACACTGAACATTCCAACCTCTTTTTGTTGCATTTATAACGCATCCGTAATATTTCCGAGTATCATTTATAAGTCGAACTCGATCCACCGGTAACGGCTGGACTAATAAGCAATCAGTATCATTAGCAGCATTTTCAAATAATGAATAACGAGATAAGAAGTCTGCATGAGGTATATCCTTTGCCGATCTATGTTCAATAGTGTAATCATATGCACTTAGTTCTAAACTCCATCTTTGAACCATAGCAGCAGATGATTTATTCAAAGATTTTTCTGGATTGTAAATGAATTTCAAAGCTTGATGATCAGTAACTATGTGAAACTTAGTACCAAAGAGATACTTGTGCAAGCGTCTTATTGCCCATACAACTGCTAGAGCTTCTTTCTGGGTTTGTGAGTACCCTTGTTCACTCTTACTTAGACGTCTTGAAATACAAATAACAGGTTGTCCATTTTGCTCAAGTACTGCAGCTATACCCATAGGAGAAGCATCTGTAGTGAGAACAGACTTATCTTTCGATGAAAAAGGTCTTAAGAAAGCTTGTTTATTAAGAAACTCCAAAGTTTTTCGCAAGATATTCTCATGTTGTTGTTCCCACTTAAACTGTTTACTGGAGACAATCTCAAAAAGTGGAGATAACCGTTGAGTGAAGTTGGGAATGAATCTGGAGTAAAACTGAAGAGTACCTATCCATGATCTCAACGATGACATATTATTAGGTGACGGTGCTTGAATTAGAGGTGCCAAACGACTAGCATCAGGTCTGAAACCTTCGGAGTCTACTGTGTATCCCAAGCATGATACAGACGACAAAGTGAAATGACATTTAGATGGATTAACAAGAACATTATTCTCACATAAACGCCTGAACAGTTTTAAAAGACGTTCATTATGCAATTCGATATTAGGACCATGAACTATAATGTCGTCTTGGTATGACTCAACACCATCTAATCCATCTATCATCTGATTTATTACATTTTGAAATATTGCGGGTGAAACCTTTAAACCAAAAGGCAAGAACTTATACTTGAACAATCCAAATGGAGTATTAATGGTTGTTAATGCACTAGACGCCTCATCAAGAGGAATTTGCAAATAGGCATCTTTTAGATCTATTTTGGAAAAGTATCTTGAGCCATGTAGCTTGTAGAGAATGTCTTCAGTTTCTAGAGTAGTGCAACTTTGCTGTAGTAGACGACTATTGAGTGTAAGGCGGTAGTCACCACAAATTCTAGGTGTTTTTCCATCAGCCTTTAGTGGCGTAACAATAGGAGTAGCCCAATTTGAAGACTCAACTGGCATAAGTATGCCTTGCTCAACCAACTTGTCTAACTCTTTCTTAACTGCATCTCGCAATCCATATGGAATTAATCGGCGTTTCAGGAAGATAGGATCACCCTCTATTTCAAGATGGATGGGCTGAATCTTCATACCACCTACACTCTTTGAACATTGGAGAAGTAATTCTCTGAACAAAGATTCATCAAACAACTCAGTACAAAGTGAGATTTCGACATTTAACAATCTAAGGGCTTTTAATCCCAATAAAGATGGACCATATTCACTAACAAGAAAGGGAATATTTACAAAATTACCACTGTCTGATTTCAAAGAAATGTTAGTAGCACCGATAAGAGGTAATTTATGACCAGTTATGCCTGTAATTGAACTAGTAGTAGGGTCTATCTGGACATTCTTACAAATCGATTGTAAATCTTTCTTAGAAATTATAGATTCAGTACTCCCAGTATCAATTATAAAACAATGGGACTTGCCTGAACTTGTAGTGAAGGTTCTCATTAGATGAGATTGAGTATTGGGAAAAGTTGAAAGAGACATCGACTGCATTTTACCAGATAAATTGGATGAATTATAAGAATTCTGAGTAACATAAGTATTCGAACTTCTGCAAACAGTCTTGATGTGTCCAACTTTACCACATTTGTGACACTTAGCACCCCGAAAACGGCAAGTGCTTCGTAGATGTAACTTTCCACAGGATAAACACGGTTTAATGTTTTTGATCTCTCGCTGCATTCTATTACCTGTGGACGACAGTTTGGATTGCTTTCCATGAACACTTGTATTTTCGACTTTAGAAAGCATAACATCAGATACTGACGTAGTGGGAGCAGAGTATTCACTGTTGACATCTTCATATGTAATACATAAATCTTTAGCAGTTTGAAAGGTACAAGAAGGAATCTGAATTAACTCTTTCTCTAACTTAGGAATATTGATTCCAGCAATTAGACGATCACGTAGTTGAGTATGCAGCTGATCTCCAAAGTTACACTTTGAAGCTTGAATTTGAAGTTGAAGAATGAACTCTCGAATCTTCTGATTGGGAGCACGAACTAGTATTTTGCACTGCGCCCTCTCTCTTGTTTCGAAGGTTGTTATGTGGAATTTGTTTATCAGAAGTTCACGGAGCTTCACTAATCTATACGCATCTAGCCCAATAACAGTGATAAAATGAGCTGGAATTTTGTCATCAAGAACATTCTTCCACATGCACCATGTGTCAAATCATTCAAGATAATCGGCGATTTCCCGCGGTGATCCATTCATAGGAAACTTTCCAAAAATATTTAATTCCATCGCCACTCCAAAATGTTATAATTATTTGTAATAGCAGTATTTGTGTTTCGCAATGACCGAATTAAAATGAAGTCAACCAACAACACAGAAAGGGATGAATTTAGGAATTTGTAGTTGGCGGAATTATAATTCAATTCATATAAAAAATATATTAACAAACAACAGTAAATATTTAAACAATACAGAGATAGAAATTGTCAATCACCACATGGCAGCTATGAACTAACGTTGTTTTGTACCTAGTTAGTTCATCGCCCAATGATGGGGTAATTTCTCACGTTTGAGACTGCAAATTCCGATCTCTTGGTGTTTCCAAAGAGCTCAATGTAAGGGCGGATAAAATAATTACCGACCTCAAAAAACTGAACCAAATAGGAGTATTATCATCAACCACGTATGAGTCCATGAAACTAACGGTCGAAGCGTTTCCCTGAGCCTGGTTGGCTTCGCTAAAGCTGCACGGTTTTACACATTTCAGGGCATGACGTCCAAACTTCCAGTGATACCAGCATATATTGCTATCCCGAGAAGACGTGTGAGAACGCTGTCGTGAGAAGGATCGTCGTCGTGATGGTGACCTTCTCTGTGAGCTCCGCCTTCGGACTCGTCGATCCGACCTATTAGTTTCCAACTTGTCAATCCTTGCCGCTAAGTCTGCAATGGCGGCGAGTATCGGTGTGTCTGCCGTGGGTGTGGAATGACACGGTGTGGCACTATCAGATGCTACGTGACTTATGGTGTTATCAGATAAAACATCCATAATACTATCTGCCATGTCACTTAGTTGGTCTAAGTCATACGACTTTCCTGAGATGATTAAAATTTGCTGGACATTTCTAGGTAAACGTTGCAACCACATCTGTTTCAGCACTACCTCGTCTACTTTATGATGTCCGATTAGCTGGCGCATGTGCCTGAGTAGCTGGGGTGGTTTACGTGGGCCTAGTTCACAGCCTGTGAGCAATTGTTGGATTCTTTTCTCATCCGACAAACTGGTGCGTTGTATGAGGAGGGCTTTAAGTTTATCAAACTGATGTTCCGTCGCAGGATCTTCAATGAAATCGCTGATTTCTGTCAATACTGACGGAGGGAGTTCTGCCAGCACCATACCGTATTTGGCTATTTGGGGCTAAATGCCCCGTGCTTCTAGCAACGGTTCAATTACCGCAAACCAAATCCTTGGTTCTGCGAAACCGTATTAGGGTAAACGAAAATCAGTGATGGCATTTATTGTGGCATTTGTCTCGCTATTAGTTGTCTGCTCATTTGATGTACCGGACTGAGGTGATGACATTATAAATATGAGGTTATTGGTGCAAATTAGGATACAAATATAAACCAAACACAAAATCACAATGAATATACAAAATAGCAAAAATAAGAATATGAATATGCCAAAATAATCCGTGTTATTATCGGGCTCACCAATTAATTTGTAGGGGACTAATATTAGAGTTCACTAACATTCCAAATATAAAAGTAATAATCCAAGTCAGTGGAGTGTTAAACCACAATATATTACGAAAAATACAGTGACGAGTTATAGCAACAAAAAGGATTACTTGGTTATACAGTATAAGTCCTCGGCTACAAATTAATTATATAATCCACAGGCACGTTAACTGTTTGGACTGCGTCTGCTGTAGCTACTGTGTTCCGGTTGTAGAAATGTCTTCGGTTGAGAGTAGTAGGCTCCTACAATAAATCCGAAGTATACAACACGGTGTGAGTGGAGCAAGTAAGCAGAAGTGACCAGGGAGAAGACGAAGTCTCCAACCGCAGAGTGTATTTTTCAATTGTACACGGAAGTCATGTATATTTCAACAAGAAGAGATTTAAACAAAAATTATGAACAATATCTCGAATTTATACATATAAACAAAAATTGTACCACCTCATTGATACGCAATCCACAGATGTACCAGCTCGATCCTCGTATCGGATGAAAATCGCTGATGAACCCAGCTAGAAACGATTTCGGGCGCTTCGCAGACTTTTCGGTCAGGCCTAGGGGCACTGTCCCACCTAAGTAGATGCGCCCGAAGTTTTTTGCCCCAAAATATCTGCAGTTCGCCCGAAAATAACGCTAGCTGGCAATGGTCGAATAATGGTTAAAATGGGCAGGATTTTGGCCAAATCGTAGGAATGGTAATATAATCGGCGAATCCTGATTAAATTATAGTCGAAATGGTGAAATACTGGTCACATAATGGTGAGGATGGGAAGAATTACGTCACATAACCAGAATTCGGCGATTTTCTCCAACTATTGGCCATGCCCATTATTCGCCTATCTTCATAGCATTTCTCTACGATTGGGACATTTGCTTGTTGTCATGTCGAACGTGAGATGAGTGGAATCAGCCGTGCAATCAATATATGTGATTTGATCTTTTCTCACTGGAGTTGACGTGAGACAAGAGGAATTGAAGGCGAACAGGTGTGTGTTGACGACAGTTGAGAATGCACGTGACGGGATGGTAGGCGACTAGACAAGACTCTTAGAGATCTCGTCTTTGTCCGATTCCGAGAGAAGTGTTTCCAGTCGGAATTGTTACACCTGTCAGTAGTGAATGAATTGAGCCAGTGCTAACAACCGACAGATGTCGATTGACCGGTGGTGTGTTCCTCGCTCATTCACTCACTCACTCACTCACTCACTCGGGCGTTGATGCACCCGTGTCTGTAGGCGTGAGTGTGTGAGTGTGTGTGTGTGTGTTTGTGTGCATGTGTTCTGACGGGTGTGGGCGATTGTGTTGTCACGCCTTCAGTTGGATGAAAGTGTGGTGATCAGGTGTCTCTCCTCTGTCAACGCACACACACACACACACACACACAATGCTCTGTCAATCTGCCTGTCTTCATGTCACAGTCATTCTACACGATTCTGCATACAACCTTGTCATCGTTGTCGGCGTCACCATCATCAATGCTTGTCTGACACTGACAGAATCTTCATGACTTGTGTCATCATCGGAACTGTCAGTGTGTTTGTGTGACATTGCTTTTGTGCGTGTGCGTGTGTGTTGGCGTGCGTGTGTGTTCGTGTGTGTGTGTGTGTTTCTGTGTGCATATGTGCATGTGGTAGTGATGGTGAGAGTTGGATTGATCTGGTGCAGTAGTGTCTTCTCTACTGATTGTACTTTTCTCTGTAGAGTATTTTCGACGAGATTTGATATGCTACTGATATGCGTTGAATGTTCGAGTGTGGCTTAGTATGTGTATGTGGTGGTTGATTGGTGTTTGTTTGTGTTGTATTCGTGTTGAGATGATGGTATGTGATGTGTGTTGATGTTGACTGGGTTGGTTGTATTGCTTTTAGTGTAAGATGTGCAAA